TTTTTTTTTTCCTTGCTTCATAAGTTCCAGACTTCTGTAATTCTGGTATTATGTAACCATGAAAGGAAAAAAGATTTTTCCTATACATTCATTGGTCACTGCAGATTGTAAGTGATTTTTGGGTTACAACAACAACAAAAAAAGAAATCTTAAGAAAAAATGTTTTCCAAAATTAAGTATAATTAAGTGGCATAATGTAAATAACAGATTAGTGAGGTACTGTATGTGTGTAAAAACAAGTGTCTAACAAGTTATATCATTAACAACAAGTAAAACTCAAACTAGATGGATTAAAAAAATGCTTCTACTTTCATTACAGGCCTTTCCAAAAAGATTTAAATAGGTATGCTCACCTACAGACTTAAGGGTAAAATACAAAAACCTAAGAGTTTACTTAGCTTACATAATTCACATCAATCAGGCAAAGAATCAACTGACTTTTTGTTGCAACTAACTTCCTCAGTCTTATATTTTAAAAGAAAATGCAAATATCAGATATTAGACATGATATGTTTTCATACAAAAAGAAATGAAAATACAGTACTACGTGCAACACAAAGATTCCTGACTACAATGTCAAGGTGCACTGATACTAAAGCATTGGTTTTAGCTGGGCTTAGCTGACACATCTCATTCAAGGCCTGCTGTTAAGACATCTGGTACTTATTATTCTATTGCTGAACAGTCACTTGGGAGAAAAAGATGGAGAAATCCAGAAGAACGATATTAGCCATTCAATTACAGACTAAGCATCATTTACAATAGTAGTATTGCAATAACTTATGCTTTAGAACCAAGATAATTTGATTTGAATACACTGTTTCTGAGGACAAAACCCAAACAAAACAATAGTAACAGTAACAATACCTAAAATTAACTTGGTACATTATAACATCTAGTAATTAGCATTTTGTCTGCTCTACACAAATGACATGCCATCAAGTTTAATCAAATTGTCCCTAGATTTATACTGTGCTGAGATCTTAATCAGGTCTATCAAAACCATATACGTGTCTGCTTTGGACAGCTGCTAAACAGTATATAGACAATATTGGGTGCAGAAATATTCAGTAAAAATCTTCATCAAGCAACTCAGGCTTCCAGTAGTAGCCTGCTAAATGAAAAAAAAAAAAAAAAGCTTTTTTTTTATTCACTATGATTTTATTTTAAGCTGTAGTGTATTTCTAGTTCGCATAATTTTGTTAGAGAAAGTAAAGAAAATGATAGTAGGGACCCTATAAAATGTAACTTTTTTTTGCACAAGGTAGGTCAGAGTGGCTTGCTTGTTTCTGCAAAGAAGTCAGACTGGTAAAACAAGTTCACAATTAGTTTAGAGAGAACAAAAAATTTTCAGCGATGATCGATTTGTCTGATCAGCTTTCAGTTGTAGGAGATATTCTGAAAATGGTTTGGATTCTTAAACCATAGACACTCTTGGGGCAAACTATTTTCCAACATGGGTGAGGTTTGAGTCAACTGAAATTGATAGTGATATACAGAAATAAAAGCTAAATAGATGCCTTCAGTTAAACTAGAGTTCAGTGTCACATTCTGAAATATGTGATGTTGAAAACTGAAAAGCAAAGTTGCCATGGGGCTCCATGCAGTTCTTTTTAAATACTTAATATATATAGTGAAAGGATTTAAGTTTCCTGGATCCAGTCTCCACCTGCCTTGCTTCAAACAGGTGAATTATCCATTCTGCCTAGTCTTTGACTTGACTGATTGTTACGTGGATGTGGTTAGTGTTCACTACGTTTGAGTTAATATGCTAATAAACCCATATAAATGCTAGGTATATTTAGTTCAACTTTGTGCCATGCCTTTTCATCAGCTTGGCTCATGAAAAAAGTACTCTTGTGTACTGCTAGCGGAAGTTTATGCAAATATTTTCTAAAAAATTTTAATCAATGGTAGTCTTAACCCAGAAGGGAGTTTAAAATCATCCTAGGTACATGTGGATTTTTTTAGTAGGAATTGTATGCATAACTAGATCAGTCATCAAAATGTATCACACACCTGACTAAAGTAAATTCCTTATTTTTTTAAATTAAAAAGTAATCTCAGCTTCACTATTGTAAATCTAGAACAAATCAAGATTTAAATTTCTGTTAATCTCAGGCAATTTCATCATCTCAGTAGGATTGTTCCAGATTTGTATAACTATGTGAAATATCACATTCTGTCCTAAATTTTATTATTGCTATGATAAAGTGATGCACTTTCTGGAAAAACAAAACCAAACCCAACCTATTTTAATGGCTGTAAAAAAAGAGAAAAAAGACAATATGCATTAGAATATACTGGAGTCAGTAGTATTATAAAGTTATAATAAATCATTGTAATGTATACACCATGGCAAATCAATTTTGTATACCCCATCAAATTCCACTGATTCTTAAAGTGACACTATAAGAGGGAACTTTTTCTGAAGAAAAAAGAAAAACCCCTGTTATTAAAAAATTTACACATTACTTGTAAGACTGTTTCCAATTTAAATTAACCTATATAAATTAATGGTAAATCCACTGAAGTCAAAGATGTTACACTAGTTGTAGAGAAATCTGAAGAAACAATAATGCTTACACTGCCTAGAGAATATGGAATAATTTACAGAGGTTTTATCTGTGTGTGAACACAGCAGGTTTGGAGAAGGAAAAAAAATTATTTGACCCAGATTATACACGACATTTTCTCCAAATCTGTAGTCACTGATACAAAAGATACATCACTTTCAAATTTATTTGTTTTTTAAAAAGTCTAATAAAAGATACTCTCCCATTATAGGTCATCTCCATTGAGTAAATAAATGGGTTTGGACAGAATACTCTTTCATTTAACATTGCTGCTTGCAAAGAGCAGTGCCACAGGCATCGTAATGCCTCATGGGAAAAAAACCCTTTCCTTAAATAACTCTTGCACATGACTGCAAAAAAGAGACAGGTACTGTAGATTCCAGTATAAATTCCAGATACAGTACTCTGGACTTCGAAGACTTTCTTTTTCTGAGAGAAATGAGACTTCTTTTGGATACAGGACAGTGAGCCACTCATCTGAAGAGAATAAAAGCTTGTCAAGGAAATGCATTCTCATGAATATTTCCAATTCATTGTTGATTCCACAAATGTAAAAAAGAGGCAGGAGTCTCTATCAGAACACACATAAGCAACTCATCAAGGAAACCACATGCTTAGGAAAGGGTTGCTAGCAAACTGAAACACTATTCAAGAAAATGCATGCAAAATAATGAAGGAACTGATACCACAAACTCAGCCAATATGAGAACAAGCAGCCCCACAATACGCATAAAATAGCTCAGCTACGAGCTCGTTATTTGGAAAATTTGAAGGTTTTAGGTTCAGTCACTTGTCCTGGCAGAAAGCTTTGCATCTAGGAATGCCAGAGGTTGGTCATTCCTGTTCTGTTTTGATTGCGCTCCAGCCCCCCTCTCTCCTTTCCCATAGCAGCTTAGGTCCGGAGGACCATGGGAGTTCCGCAGCCCGGCACCACCTGCCAGCTCTGGGATGGATGGGGACACACCTAGGAGAAAGCCATCTCTCGATGAGTACAGGCCTGCTCATGGGCTGCTGGGCAGGGCAGCACCTCAGCAGCAGGAGGTGCTGCCTGGGGCACGATGGGGGTTTCCTGCAGCAAAAAGGCCCCAGGCTTCAGGAGGTCTTGAAAGGGTGGCTGAGAGGGGATGGGCAGGCAGGGAGAGGCCTTCTTGCGGCTGCTGCCAGCCCAGGCCTTGGGCCTGGCCCCACAGCAGCCCTGGGCCCCACTGAGCTGGGCACCACCCAGACCCTGACCCCATCCCATCCCACATTGCCCTGGTGGCCCTGGGCCTTGTTCCCACAGCCCTCAGTAGATACCAGGGGGAAATTCTGAATGGGATCCTCTCTACTTTACAGCCTTCACCCTGCAAGACAGACCCTATGCCCTCACTCCTGTCTGCTAAGGAACAGCTAGGCTTTTCCCCTGAATCTGGGTTAGTAATTTTGAAGGGAGAGAATTAATTTAGCCTAAGCCCCATCACCCAAGGTTAGATGTACACTGCTAGAGCACTGTGATGGTGGAAGAGATTTGTCATGCCTACAGCATTAAAGATTCCCTGGCTTCAAACTGGGCATGAGGCATTTCTACAAAGTATTTGAATCCTTTAATTTCTTTACACTTGTTTTCTCAGCAGGCGTTGCTGGTCCCTAAGGTAAATAGAAAGGTCTTACTCTATGTACCCCATGGTGTCAAAAGAATACATCTACACAGGATGAGATGTAATTTGTAGGCAGGTCATGTTTCCTACATGGCCCTGGTACCTGCTGATAGCTTATCTGAGACGACTTTGAATAAAAGTGATGTGAGATAATAGCAAGCAGAAGGGAAAATAAGTAAAGAAATCTGCAAGCCAAGGCAAACTGCAACTGCTGTTGCCAAGAATATAGAGCTTCAGACTCCACTAGTGAATAGTTATGAAAAGGGTAAGCCTAAATCATCTTGAACACATACCAAATAACACCCGAACATAATTTCTGAAGATAAATTGCCTTCCAGACTTGAATGAAATATCCCTTTACAGAAAGGGATTAGGTGACCCAGCATCTAACAGCCCCTCTTCGCATTTCTTTATTGTTATTCAGTCTTTGGAAAAGGACATACACGGACATACACGGACAAATATATTTATCTGATGAGCAGGGACTTGGAATAACACCCAACTGCTTCCAGCAGACTATTAAGCTTGTCACATGACCAAGCTTCAGCAGCACAAGGAACCATTTAATAGCCGTTTAGTAATAGATCTTGGAAAATTAATCTTGCTGTGACTTGGAAGAGCTGAAATATTTGGCTGGTTTTAATGCTTCTCAAATTTTTCTAATTAGATCCCCAGGTACGAGATTTCCAATGGTACTTTATTATAGGGAAGTTGTACCAGTAACTCCAAATTTAATATAGTCTAGAATACCAAGAGGGAAGAGGTGGGTTCTGAGGATAAAACAAACCAAGTCACATAGACCTGAAAAAGAAGAGGAAAGAATGGAAAGAAACGTAAAACTGTGATTCGATAAAAAGAATGTTCCTAGGCTACTGTCCTGGTTTAACCCCAGCCAGCAACTAAGCACCATGCAGCCGCTCACTCACCCCCCCCCCCCCCACCTAGTGGGATGGGGGAGAAAATCAGAAGGAAAAAGGTAAAACTTGTGGGTTGAGATAAGAATAGTTTAATAGAACAGAAAGGAAGAAACTAATAATGATAATAATAAAATGACAATACTAATAAAAGGATTGGAAGATACAAAACAAGTGATGCACAACGCAATTGCTCACCACCTGCTGACTGATGCCCAGTTAGTTCCCGAGTATCAATCTGCCCCAGCCAACTCCCCCCAGTTTATATACTAGACATGACATCACATGGTATGGAATACCCCGTTGGCCCGTTTGGGTCAGCTGTCCTGGCTGTGTCCCCTCCCAACTTCTTGTACCCCTCCAGCCTTCTTGCTGGCTGGGCATGAGAAGCTGAAAAATCCTTGACTTAGTATAGACATTACGTAGCAACAACTGAAAACATCAGTGTTTTATCAACATTATTCTCATACTGAATCCAAGACATAACGCTATACCAGCTACTAGAAAGATAATAACTCTATCCTAGCCAAAACCAGGACAGCTTCAACAGAGTTGTATCATTGGATTTAAATATGCTGTCTGAGCCATTTCTAACAATGTAAGACAGTATCAGTGTTGACTCTATCAGCATTTTACAGAAATCCACCAACAGCTAAAGTCTTTAAAGCATAATACAGTAAATGTGTACAGTGCTAGTTTCTGAGCTGGTGTTATAGTATCAGTCAACTCAAAGATGCTGATGCACGCACAATACAACAGTGATGGCATATCAGTGCCAGACAAGCTAGAGAGTCTTAGACTGAAATGGATTGTCATGATCATAGGCTTAGTCTCCTGTGTAGTGCTGACGCTGAAGTTTCAGTCAGTAACTTTAGCAGTAGAGGAAATAATTCCTGAATTATGTACAAGTGAACATTTTTAGAAAATTTGCTTGTGAGTTTTGAGGGAGAACGTATGCACACGTACATAAACATATACCATTAGTTGCTGTTACTGAGCAGTTGAATAAAAAAGAAAATATACTCCAGTTATCTTAGCTTTAATTTGTAATATAAAAGAAAATATTATAAAGTTATTTTGTTTTCCCATGCAGTTTCGCTCTACTGAGTATGCCTTAGTTATGGCTAGTTTGCTGTTAGTTCAGGTGGGAGAAATAAGATTTTAAGAACTGGCTCTAACATCAGCTCTATGCTATTGGGAATATTCTGCAGAAGTAGACTAGAATTACATCTGAATAAAATAATAAGAGATATTCCAGCAAACAGATTTATTTTATCACCCTGGACATAAAACTTACCTGCTGCCTTATAAATGTTCCAGGAGTCTGACTTACATCATAGACTTTTTTATAGACTATTTAACATGAGTAATCCCTGGCCAGTTGGAATTCATATGATAAGGACACAGACAGAAAGACTATGTGCTGAATGGATCTTAGAATTGCATATAAGCATATATTCAAAATATCTACTTTTAAGATATAATTCTGAAACAGAAAATGCTAGATGTGTCTAGGAACCTCTGCCTGCAGCCTAATCACACCCTGCATCTGCACATAAATAAATTAGACTTCGGTGAATGGCTAAAACAACTAAGTTTGCATGTTTTTTTTTTTCATTTGCATAGGGTTGTTATTTTATAATGCTGAAGCTATAACAGATTTATGAAATATAAAGACTGAGAGTTTTGTCCTTGTTTGACAGTATGTTTGCACTGTGAAAAATTTTAGACCTGCAAAACATGCATGCTTTGCAGTATCAGTCATACTGGGTTTCTTATACAACCTTTCTGAACAATACCTTACTAGCCAGAGTCTCTTATCCCTGAGCTTCATATAAAACCAAACAAAAAATTAGAATGTCTAGGAAAAGTCACAAAAAGAAGGCTCCAAACTCCCAGATGAGGAAGGAGTTCCCCAAGTGGGAACTCTAGGCCAGTAGACAACAAAGGCTCCAGCATCCAAGCACAGCAAGATGGGGCTGAGCTTGGTCTCAAGACAACCTAGCAAAGTCACCTTTAGTAGTACAGATTGGCCAATAACTTTGGCCAATAACTGATAATTGAGATTGCCCAGAAAACCTTGCACTGCAGTCCCATTGCTGGTGATATGTAGGAACCTCAGTTTAAGGTTGCATTTGAATAGCCTTGGAGCCACAATCTGGTGGCTGCAGAATCAAACATTAGACTAAGTTAATAAGTTTATCAGCAGCTCAACTGTGAGAAACTGCTGGTTTTAGTATTACTTGTACTGCTATTGACTTGTGTTCTGATCATTATTCTGTTAAGATTGTAATGGAAACTGAGGCCATAATTATATAGTTTGTCAGAAAAATCAAAAAAGACGAGGCTATACATCATTGACACCATTAACAGCAACTAATATGCACACATTAATACAGCCAGCTGTTAGTGATCTTCTCTAGAAGAACGGCTTCCAAAGCAATAAATAATAAATAGATCTATGTAATGCAACTTGTTACAAGATTTTATCAGCAAGATGCATGCTTGTTACTGTCGTATGTAGTTTATTGAAAAATTCCTTTTGTAAAGTTTATTAGTATTCTGAGACTGAGTTTCAACCCAATAAATAGGAGAAAAATCACAGCTACCGGATTTCGGTTTTCATCTTTGGAATTTTGTTTAAAGGAGTTTTAGAACAGGCTTTTCCAAAGCTGATTCTGATCAACAGCTGGCTCAAAGAGGGAGAGTTCTTCAGGTATGCATATTTATTTCCTGCTAAAGACCAAGTTTACTTAGTTCATATTGAGAATCCTAACAGAGAAGTGATCAGTTAGGAAAATCCTAGCTGTAATATTTTGAGGAACTGCCGAGCCTTTACAGCTTGGATTGGGAATCACTTTCTCTGGGAATGCCTCCTGTTCTCAGGTTTGCTTCAGCCATGAATCAAGGCAGAAACTGAAGCAGCAAGAGTTTCACATAATGAAAACCCACAATATTTCTTATCAAAAGCAAGTGTTTCTGCATTCATTTATTAAAGTGCTAGCTTCATGTCAATCTCTGTTCATCTAAACTGCAACAATCTCCCACACAAGTGACTGTCGATATACCTCAGGCAGCAACATTGCAGCCTGTGGTGATTTACCTGAGCTCAGCTATCTCTGAGGGATGTCCATCGAGGCCTGCTTATGAGACTGATGAGCCCCAAACAGGGAAGACTGTAGATGAGATAAACTATTTGAGTTCCAGTATAATCTTATTTTATGTGACACTGGGTTATGTCATGGTTATATAATTCTCATAACATACCACACAGATTCAAATGGCTGGAAAAGAGATGGGAATCATGAGGTACTCTGTCCAGCAGTCATGAAAATTAAATTGTGATACATTCTGTAGTCCTCTTTAGACAGCAGAAACAGCTTCAGAGGGACTGAAATATTGAAACAAGCCATGATACGTATTTTCATTCAGTTTACTCAGACTTATATTTTTTGATTTACAGAGAAGTTCAGAATGGTTCAGAAGAACATATTTGCATGTACAGAGAAGATATCTGCATGTACAGTGTCTTTCTTCTCTCTTATGTTTCTTTCCCCGGACTGTTTTTTAATCCATGAAACATTTCGGTACTTTTTTTTTTTTTTTTAATAGATCTGTTAAGTGATTACTTTCCATTTACCTGTGCTTCTCTGAAACGAACAGGTTTACCCCAGAAATATCTAAATAAAAACTTTAATCTGAAGCTTGTAATTCTTAGTTTTACAATACCCCAGTATTGATTGCATTATTGTGAACTTTTTTTTTTTTTTTCAATTAAAGTATCTCCATGGCTGACCAGTACATTTGTACTATATCAGCTAAAAAAAGTAAAATAAAACTATGGAAGATAATGACTCAACAAATATTAAAAAGCATGCATAAAAAAAGTTTAACATGTGACCAAGTAAGGAAAAAAAAAGTTTAACCATGTATATTACACAAGATTACAGCCATAGTGCTAGATTATGTTTGAAACTTTCTCAGTAATTAGAAATTGTTTGCTGTCCTGGTGTCGTGGTTTAACCCCAGCCAGCAACTAAGCACCACATAGCCGCTCACTCACTCCCCCCCATCCAGTAGGATGGGGGAGAAAATCGGGAAAAGAAGCAAAACTCCTGGGTTGAGATAAGAATGGTTTAATAGAACAGAAAAGAAGAAACTAATAATGATAATGATAACACGACTAAAATGACAACAGCAATAATAAAAGGATTGGAATGTACAAATGATGCGCAGGGCAACTGATCACCACCCGCTGACCAACACCCAGACAGTCCCCGAGCAGAGATTCCCTGCCCCCACTTCCCAGTTCCTATACTAGATGGGACGTCACATGGTATGGAATACACTGTTGGCCAGTTTGGGTCAGGTGCCCTGGTTGTGTCCTGTGCCAACTTCTTGTGCCCTGGCTGGGCATGAGAAGCTGAAAAATCCTTGACTATAGTCTAAACACTACTGAGCAACAACTGAAAACATCAGTGTTATCAACATTCTTCGCATACTGAACTCAAAACATAGCACTGTACTAGCTACTAGGAAGACAATTAACTCTATCCCAGCTGAAACCAGGACACCTGGTCCATCTTTAATGAAAATAATTTGATCAACTTTTTAAGCCTAGCTGTTGCAGAAAACATGACCCAGAGACTGTTCTTAGTGTTTTGGATAACTATATATTCCCTAAGGAAAGAGATTGATACAAAGAGCAGGTGCAATGCATCTCTGAAAATTTCACTGATTAGTATAACAACCATTAACTGTTTATTATAGAGAAGCCATGTAATTGAGAATATTATAATCTACTTCTGAAAAAAACCCAAACCAACCAACAAAACCAAAAAACCCTCTATAATCATGATAGATGTCTTGGAGCAGTGTTCTCCTGAGTAACTAGTCATTTTCTGAACATTCTTATATCAAGCATAATTCTCTTCCGCTACAGAGATTTTTCCCATTACTTTGTCCTAGCACATCACTAGTATCTATTTTCTGTAGTTCTATTCACAAAGTTCTCAATCTAGATTGAAGTGTACTATTAACAATTTAAAGTAAAGTAAAGATTTTAAGGTTTGCATTCTGAATATTGAAAACTAACTAAGGTATTTCCAGGAATGGATATGAAAAATTAAGCAATTTTTTCTTCCCTTAATGTTCTCTACCTCAATAACATTCTCCAGGTTGCAAAATTTCCACACTTTCCTGTAAAAATGTTTTTATTTTGAATACTTTGTGTTTTCAAACTGGACAGAGTCCTACCTGAAATTTTCAGCCGTATCTTCTTTTCTACTGGAAAATACCAAGCCCTATGACTCAAGACTATGATTTCTTGAAATAAAAGCACAATTACACAAACGTAAATGAGTGGACAGTAAAGCATACAATTTAAGAAAAAGGTTCACAAAAATACAGGTGCTTACTTCCTCTGTTTGCTTGAGCACAGCAGTAACTATTTTTATGTCTTACAAGTGGGTTCATTTTGAATAACAAACTCTTCACTGTGAACAAGGTGGAGAATAAACAAGTTCCTTATTCACTGGGTTAGAGCTTCAGAAATGGCAAAAGAGCTATTTGCAATTTAAGCTCCAAGTCTTGTCACTAAAAAGACTTCTGGTGAAGCAGAATTTAAAGAACAAGTTTACTTTGCCTCTGATTTCACAGAGGAACCAGAACTGTGGAGCAGATGGCAATGCAACATCACCTTTAAGTAGTCCTGGTCTTTTAACAGGAGTAGCCTTTTCCTGCCTCTAGAATACACATTTTCATAGAAGTTCTGGAAGTTAGTAGAGCTCATAATCTGTCCTTCCCAAAAGAGTTGCAAAACATTTGGAAAATATCATGACTGAAACAAAGGAAGGTTTCTATTTCACAGCCACTAGAAAGGTACTGTACACTAGATTTACATCAGTATACTGGCCAGCTCTTCTCTCGCACTATGTAAAGTGTAGGTCTTCTTGACATACTTTGACGAAGCAGAAAAGTCCCCACCTGCCCTCAAATGAAAGAGAGGTAATAGCCAATGGGTACCATGGAAAAAAATTTCTCTGTCTTCATTCCAGCCCCAGTGCCAGCTACCTTCAAAGTCACTCTTGCATCTGCAGCCACACAAGAACGGAGCCTCTGACTATCAAAACAGGTGGTTAAGTCCCTAGATACTTCCTTTACAGTAGCTAGGGTTTTAAAATGTTTTTAAGTGAGATTTTTATTTTAAGATGTGGATTTTGAGAACATAGATGAAAATTTCACTGTAAAACCAAGTATCAATAACTTTGAAATTAAAGATGATTTAAGATATGAAGATCTTAAAAAGTAATTATTCTGTGTCCATAACAACAGTAAAAATTAATGAACAGTCATAGAACAGCCCTATTTCATTATTATTTCTACTTTGTTACTATAATATATTTCTCATGTCTCCAATAGTTGCAAAGCAGCTTCCTTCATTCTCTCTGGAGTCAGAACACCCAACAGGACACCATTTCTCTCAGAGGTATTCCTCATTTCTGTCTGTATTTAGTTAACCTGCTCATATGTTTTTATTCCACCCTACCCTTTATGATTATTTAATTAAAAACCTAAACTTACCATTTGAGAGCTAGAAGCGAAGCTGCTACCAGGAGGTTTGCTGCTTTGTGTTGCTTCTCTGGTCAGCTCACCAGAAGCCTTGATTGTACTGCCTCTTCCAACGGATAGAGTAAAAAAGGTTTAACCTAAAGTTAAACTAGAACTCCTTGCACTGGATGCAGATGCCCATGCTCTGGCAGGGGGCTGCAGGGCGGCCTCTGTGAGGAGAGGCTGGGGCTGCCCCGAGCCGGACACAGCCGGTTCCAGCCGCCTCCGACCGACCCACTGCAGGGCACGGCTCAGCCCCGCAGCCACCACGGCGGAGCCGCAGGGAAAGCCTGTGTAAGAAAGGGCAAAACGCTGCCCGGCTGTGAGGGGAAAAGTGTGAGAAACAACCCTGCGGGCACAGAGGGGAGAGGGAGAAGAGGGTGAGGAGGTGCTCCAGGCACCCCAGCAGGGATCCCCTGCAGCCCCTGGAGAGACCACACTGGGGCAGGTTTATCCTGAAAGGCTGAAGCCTGTGGAGAGGACCCCACACAGGAGAAGGGGAAAAGCGTGAGGACAAAGGAATGGCAGAGAGGAGCTGTGAGACCACAACCATCAATTCCCCATTTGCCCTTGGCAGGGAGAAGGTAGAGGAGTTGGGAATGAAGGAGAGAAGTTGAGCCTGGAAAAAAGTGTTTGAGGGAATTGTTTAATTTTTTTTCTTTGTTTCTCACTACCCAAATCTATTTAATTGGCAATAAATTCAACTTTCCCCAAGGTGAGTCTGTTTTGCCCATAACAGTAACTGGTAAGTGACCTCCCTGTCTTTATCTCAACCCGTGAGCTTGTCCATCATATTTTCTCCCCCTGTCCTTGTTAGAGGAGGGGGAGTGTGTGAGCAGCTAGGTGGGCTTCTGGCTGCTGGCCAATGCTAACCCACCACACCTCTGTGTGTTACTAGTCTCCTCTCCACTTCCATCTCCTAACGTATTTGGTTTTTCCAGATTCAGAAGATGTGTGACTCACAGGTGTCCGTTGACACGTCCATGTGTCTTTATTGGGGATGTTGACAGGAAGTCATCCTTGAATGACATCCTTACAAAACTCTATTTCTAATAAGCACACAGAATTTCTATGCAAGGCAGCTTAACTAATGTATGTTCCCACATAGCTATGCAGCCTGCTCCTTAAAACAGGAATAATTACTTGGAGATATCAGCCAAATATATTCTTCAGTTGGGTAAGAGGTTCTTTTCTTGCAGTGTTTTTTAAGATTTATAAATTAAGATGTTTCATCAAAAAGGGACACTGAAATATGGATTTTAACAGTTTGAACCTCTCCATTCACAATTACTCAGATTTCATTTGATCAGTATTTCTAATGTGTAATCCTACCTATTGTCTATCTGTTCATCAAGTTTTCAAACATGTTTTGCCTCCATTGCCTGATCTCACTTCTCTTCTTTCTATTAACTTGACATGTATGTTCTGCTCTCTAAACCTCCTTTATATATCATGAGAAAAAAAGAAGCATGTCCTCAATTATGTCTCTCCCCTTTGCTGATCTTCACAGTTACATAGCATTTTCCTATGCTGCTCAGAATGTCAGAAGGGAGTTAAGAAGAAGAAGAAAAAAATGCAGCTAAAAAACCAGATTCAATTTAACAGAATGAAATAGCCAATAAACTTTCAAAACAGACAGTCAAATAATTAGATTCTAGCAGAAAATCACAGAATTGCCACTGCTAGAAATATTCAGAGGCTACACAGACTGGATAAAAACATCCATCACAGGTGATTTAGAAATAATTGACTGAAACAGCTATGGACAGAAGATAGCCTAGGTCACAGACCAAAGGATTCTCTAGTTTTATAGTAATTTTTGTGACATTCTCTGGAAAATAAGCAACTGCTTGTAGCTGACAGAAAGTATGACCTACAAAGTTTTCCTACAAACACTAAATTTCATTCTGTGTCACAACTAGCTTGGATGTTATCCGTAATAGTTTTGTCAGCAACTCCCTTTTAGATTGAATGTGTTAACTCAGATTCGCTCCTCTTCTGTTGGACTGGGAACAGATGAGCCCGTGTCAACTAGTACCATCATGATACTAATCTCAGAACAATGCCTCTAAATTCCATATGCAATTTTATAGCCACATGAAAACTACTCTTACAGTAGATGCACAATTTTTTGATTAACCCTCTTTCTCAATTCTTATTCCAAAATATACTGTTTTCAGCTGAGGAGAAATAAAAAATAATGTAAAACTTAATAGCATACACATTCAACCATCATTGATTAATGCTAGGATTTTAACAAGGAAGAAATATAATCTTTTGCAAAACAAGATATCAGGATGCTTCTACAAACATCATTTAATTTTAAATTTGATCATAATTCACTCTTGATTGCAATTAGAGTTTAACTTATTAAATACCATCTGTTTTCTAAACATGGAGACTGAAAAGATCTCTGTAAAGGAAAAAAAAAAACACAAAAAATCAACAAAACCTTGTGCCAGCTTGTTTATCATTGCTTTGCATATGGGATTTTTAACCGTGTAACAAAGCAAAAAAGTTGACCAATAAGAGAATAAATGAATGTTCTAAAGGATGAGAATTCAGCTAATAATAATCTTTTTCAGAAACACCTAAGCTTACACACACTTCCCCTTTACCTACATTTACCTCTAAGTAGACCAGGAAAATCTAGAGAAAAATACAGTTTAAAATATTTTTTTTCAGTCTCATTTCCTTTTTTTTTTTTTTAAATAAATCTATTAATGGTATTATAAAATTCTTCTTACAAGACTACAATCTATGAACCAAATCCCAAAGCCTTACGGTGCCATCAAGTTCCAGAATAGTCAGCAGAACTCCAGCTGAACTGATTGCATTAGAGGAGCCTGGGAGAGTACAGCAGTTCATGGAAGAAGGAGATGGAGACATTCCCATTACGGAAACACATACCATTTCCATGTAAAATTCATAGAATTTAAGGTCAGATGAGACCAGTAGATCACACAGTCTGATATCCCATTTATTATTGCTACATTTTATGTAATCACCTCTGTAGTGAATGCAATAACTTATGTTTAATTTATTTATACACTGCATTTGATGAAACTATGTGTTCTGGAAAGGCACACTGTTGGATCATAGAATGGTTTGGGTTCGAAGGGACCTTAAAGATCATGTAGTTCCAACCCCCCTGCCACAGGCAGGGACACCTTCCACTAGACCAGGCTGCTCAAAGCCACATCCAATCTGGCCTTGAACACTTCCAGGGATGGGACATCCACAACCTCTCTGGGCAACCTGTTCCAGTGCCTTACCACCCTCACAGTGAAGAACTTCTTCCTTACATCTAATCTAAATCTACCCTCTTTCAGTTTAAAGCCATTACCCCTTGTCTTATCACTACATGCCCTTGTAAAAAGTCCCTCTCTGGCTTTCTTGCAGGCCCCCTTTGGGTACGGGAAGGCTGCTGTAAGGTCTCCCTGGAGTCTTCTCTTCTCCAGGCTGAACAACCCCAACTCTCTCAGCCTGTCCTCATAGGAGAGGGGCTCCAGCCCTCTGATCATCTTCATGGCCCTCCTCTGGACTTGCTTGAGCAGGTCCATGTCCTTATGTTGGGGACCCCAGAGCTGAATGCAGGACTCCAGCTGGGGTGTAATGAGAGCAGAGTAGAGGGGAACAGTCACCTCCCTCAACTGCTCGTTACGCTTCTTTTGATGCAGCCCAGGATATGGTTGGCTTTCTGGGCTGCAAGTGCACATTGCTGGGTCATGTTGAGCTTCTCATCAACCAACACCCCCAAGTCCTTCTCCACAGGGCTGCTCTCAATTCATCCTCTGCCCAGCCTGTATTTGTGCTTGGGATTGCCCTGACCCATCGGCAGGACATTGCACTTGGCCTTGTTGAACTTCATGAAGTTTGCATGGGCTCACCTCTCAAGCCTGTCCAGGTCCCTCTGGATGGCATCCCTTCCCTCTGGCCTGTCAACTGCACCACACAGCTTGGTGTCATTGGCAAACTTGCTGAGAGTGTACTCAGGTCACTGTTGTGATCTGAAAACACTGCAGAGGTGGAAAACCTACTATTTGTCTTGGAAATTTGTTTCCAAGGTAGCTATTTCCATTAATTTGTGTCTAGGAAACTGATAACATTCTGTCTCTTATGCTGAAAGTCTTGTTTTAGGCAAAAATGAGACATCTTAAACATAAAGCCAAGGATTTGTTGTTAGCGTAATCACAATCTTAACCATTGGATCACAGAATTAGTTCAGATTTTCTGTGTCATTAATATTACACAGAAGAGGTAAGAAACAAAATATCACAATAATGTAGTTAAAATATCTGTACAAAGACTTCCTGGCATCTGCCCCTTCCTCAGATTTTACACTTACTCTTCCGCTGCCCTCCTGGGTCCCAAAGACAATGGCTTCAGTCTATGGATGTGTGTGGTGAGATGTCAAGCATCTCGAGTCTTCCCCTGGGAGGAATATAAGGTTGAAGTTAATGCTTTCATATCCCAGAGTGAGGAAGAAGCTTTGGGTTATTTTTATGTTTGGTAACATGCTTTTTACTGTGATCTTTCTTCTGCGGTCTGCAACCACATGTAACATCCAAACTTACTTCATATGGAGTGTTTTTACTTACATTAAACAGTTTATTTTTGTTCTCTTTGTTCCCTAAAACAAGTTTTTCTCACCTCCAGGTCTGTACTTCTTTAACTGGTCATTGGAGGGCCATTTATAGTCACACGTCCTCCAGTGCCAGTCTCTGCCCCATCTCTTACCATCTCATGCCTATACTCTTTACACTGCATACTGTGCCTCCACTTTTGAGACCTGTCATACCAAGCCTGTACTCCTCTACCCTATATCATTAAGTTAGAGGTTTGCATGGCTTTGTTAAATACTTAATTCTTCAAAGAATAACTATATTCACTTGGCTTCTTCGGCCAGAGTTTTTGTTTGTGGTAAACATGCATCACTCCATTAATTCTACTGCAGTTGTGAAGATTCACACAGCCTGTGTGTCTGTCTTGGGAGAAAGAAAAGTCTTTGCATGCATGTTAGAAACCCTTGTTTTGTACAGTTCTTTTCTAATTTTTCCTCTTCCTTTCCCTGTATTTTCTTTTCTTTGTATGCACAGCAAGATTTAATAACAATTTTGCATCTAAAAAAGGTAAGTTATCCTTTCTCCTTTACTTTGTGACCCCTAGTCTACCTGATAATATTTTTAGTTTTCTGTGGGAACAGTTAGAATAGTCTGAAGCAGCACCTTTCTATACTGTTCTACAACTTACTGGAAAAAAACAATCTGCATGATTATCTCAAATATCTATCCAGTCAGAGGCTGGATAAGTGAGTTCTTACAAGTGTTTGAGTTATAGGAGAGATCTGATCAAGAAAAAAAAAGAAAGAAAAAAAAGAGCAATCTTGTGTGTGTGTGAAACTAGGAAAATTCAAGTTTCAGAAATGACTGTATTACTAGGCAGTAATCTTAAATTCCTAATATTTGTGGCCATTGCAGTCTAATCCTCCTGCCCTTACCTGTACTTTTCCCAGAGACTTGGTGTTACACTATGGCATATATAACCAGGTTGTGTTCACTGTCCTATTAGTGAGGCAAATGATGTGATATCTCTTCTAGTGCACAAAGAATATGCATGTATTTTGCATTATTTGCTGTAGTTTAGTGAAAGAACCTATTATTTGCAATTCAGAGAAATTAAAGTTTTGCCATTAACAATGCTGATGTTTCCACATCAATCTGACACTAACTTCATGAAACATATTTATCAAAACTTGGTGGGTAGGTACATATGGTAAAATAATAACAGAAAAGAAGTAATCACTTTAGTATTTTAATTAATTTGGTATTTCAACTATTTAAGTGTTAAAGTATTTCAATTATCTGGTACATTAATTGCTTCAAAAATTCAACTGGACTGGAGCTTTCTGAAACTGTAATTCAAGGGGGAAGACACAAGGACAAAGAAAAGGAAAAATGAGGGCAGCATCTATAGAAAAAGATAATGAAGGATTGTCAGGATCCTACTGATTTGGAGGCTCGGGTAGGAT